GGAACGGGTTTGTCTTGATTGAGCGTTTTGATTCCCCGACTCTAATATTGCCTTATACGGGTTTGACTGTGTTGCCCTGGTCGGCCGCTCACGCCGCGTGGCGGCCGCAGTTTGATTGTCGCTGGTGTCGCCAGGGGGACTCGTGTTCTTGGCGACGATTGGTCCTGGGTTACGAGGGAGCGACACGTTTCCCCGAGCTTTCCTGTAGTGCGGGGGCGATGCCCGCGCAATTTCGAATTCGGATGCCGGCGAGTCCTCCCGCCGCTTTATCCTCCCGAAACCTTCCGCGCGGACTCTGTGAGTCCGACGTTGAGGCTTGAAGGCCTCGAACCAACCACCTCTACAGCAAAGACCCGATGGTTCGATCACTTCGTGAGGCCGATGACGAGGCCTGAACGCTTCGAAACCACCACCTATCCCCCAAACCCCTGACGACCGAAGTTTTGTCTCCCGCCGCCATAACCCTCTCCCCTTGAGGCCTTTTCCCGTCCTGATGCACGACGACAGCTCGTTTTTGCGGAAACCCTTCTGATTTTATCGTTTCGGAGCGATCCGACCCCCCCCCACGGGACTTCGCGACGACAGTTCGACTCCGGGGTAACCTCTGGCACGAAACGAGAGCCTCCCGTTCCGTCCGGGAGACTCAACCCCTACAGCCAAAAATCCTCGGCCACGCCCCTCCTAGAACTCTGATCGGGGACCCAGTACGGGAAGCCGCGAGGGGGCGTGAGGTTGCGTATCACAGGCTTGCCCCCCCTGGTTGGTCTTGGAAGGGGCTTTGCCTTCGTCCGTTCCTTCCCGTGCTAGGGGTTCGCTCAACACTGAGGGCAATAGGCTCAGCCCATGCTAGGAGATTTTCACCCCTGCCCAAGTGAGCTTGGATAGGCAGGTAGGTAGCATGAGGTCTACTGTGAGAAGAGAATTAGCTAGTGTGAGGTGGAAAAATTTATTGAGAGCGTTGTGAATACAGCTGTCCCCCATATATGAGGAGAAGACGGCCTTAATTTTTTTTTTTTTTTTAAATCGACATATCGTTATACAGAGAAGATTAGGATAGCCCCTCTCCGCAAGTGACCTGTGGCTCAGCGGTTAGGGCACCGGTTGTCAATGCGCAGTGTGGTCTGAGGTTGCGGGTTCAAAACTCTACATCTCTGCGCAGAGACACCTGCAGGCACTTACATAACGCATGGTCACTTGGGTACCCCCTTGGGCTGGCGCATGTGGTAAGCTATTGCAGACACTGCCTGCGCACTACCCAAGGGTTAGCGCACGTGTTGTATGTTGGTCTGGGCTACACGTGGGTTGCTTGCTGTTGTTGGCTATGGGTTGTTCTGATAATCTCCCCTGTTAGACATTTCACACATTAGGTTCACTTGCCATCGTAGCTCGTGTGGAAGAACACTCCAGTTACATGCTGTAGGTCATGGGTTCGAGTCTGGCTTCGGACTTTGGGGGTTTCTTCTCCAGATAGGCCCGTCACCACCACATATTACAAACACATGAGTCACTAGCCCTGATACTGTCTACGGGCATCCACATAGTTCAGCATATATATATATATATATAAGGAGAAGGTCACACAGTGTCYGTACATTGTACTGCTGCACTACAGTGCCAGAGGAATGATCTTCGACATAAAGKAGGTTGCGGACAGTTTGATGTGGCAAGAGAGAAGAACAATGTACGGACACTGTGTGACCTTCTCCTTTGCACAGCCACAGACACTGTTGCACTTGGGTGTACTCGCCATCAGCTTTGTCACAATCACTACCACGAGATGGTTTCTGCATCCATGTGTGTACAGGATTGTCCCTCCGTTCCTGACTGCACGCATTGTACACGCCTCTGACCATTGGGAGGTGTGGAACGACGGTGTCATGGTCCATGCCATGATTGATATTACTGATTTCTTACTCTATGATGCTG